TTTTTTCCCTTATATAGTTAATTTTAGTGTTTAAAAACATTAATTTATAAACTAATTTCAAACAAATATAAATTATTCCATCATCTCTCAACTAACAACTATGATTATCAGGTGTCCAAAGGATCCAAACCAAACAAAAACTAAACAATTCCTACTGTCGCAAGCTCCTATTTGCAATTGGAAAGCGATTAACTGCCTTCTTTTAAAGAAGAATGCCTTTGGACATTTGGTATGAATCGAGTATACTTTGCACCTGATTAATGCTAAGTAAATTTTATAATGTTTTATTTTTATAAAATAAAAGATTTGTCTAAATTACACATGTTAAGTACAAATTAAAACTCATTAATTAATACATTTTTAATTAATTTTATATAATTTTTCTCATAAATGTTGAATATAAATATTATATTATATTTTTATATTTTATTTAAATCTTATATAAAAATTTATATAAAATTAATTTTTAAAATTATAATTAATAAAATTTAATTTACATTATAAAGGCACACGGTTAAAATTTTTTTAAAATAAATAGCAAGACACCAGGGCCAAATAAATATCCCTAATATTCCTCGCGTTTGAAAATTATAAGTAGAGGTCAAAAGACGTGCTGCTTAAAGGTCAAAGTTTTGTAATTTTCATTATTACGACCAAATTAAATGAGATGGAAATTTCGGTTGCCCTTTTCAGTTTCCCGGACGTTTTAGATTCCTTTGGACCCAGGAAAAGAAAATTTTGTTTTGTTTTGTACCAAGTAATTTAACTTGGAGAGGAAGATTTTTCTACCCTTTCTAATTGCTAGTCAATAAAAATAATTAATTCAAATTTTGAATCTCTACTCCAAGTCATACTTACAAAAAATCTCCTCTCTATTAAATGAAAAGAGTTTGATGGCTAAAAAAGAAAGTGTTAATTATGTTATTTTTTTAATTTGCATTATACAATTAAAAAAAAAAAAACTTTTTCCCTTTCATTATTCACTTTATCTACATGACTATGATTCGAAGATGAAATCTATTACTCTACTTAGAGAGTTTTACCCTTACCCTATTGTTTTACTTTGTACAAAAAAATTTATTAGTATATTCTTAACATGTGTCAAAAAAAGAGTTAGAAAAATTCCTTATGTTATATATTTTTTAAATTCATGCAAATCTGTACAATGTGGACAAAAATATCATGTACTATTTAAAGAATATAAAAAGTATTTTATAAATTATATTATATTATATTATAAACATTAATCATTAAATTAAATAAATACTTTATATTGGAGATTTTTTTTATTTAATAATTAATATTTTATAACGTAATGCAATTTAAATGGCTAAAAATCGGACTCAAAATAGTAATAAATGCAGAACAAATTGGAACCAAGTTCATTCCCAATTTTCCCCTTTTTTTTTCTTTGCCATTGAAAAAAAGGAAAAAAGAATAAAAGATGAAAAAACTGAAAAACAAAGGGACGGGCGGAACTTGGGGAAAATGAAAATGACTATACTCTGTATTTAGGTAGACAGCTGGGCGAGGCTGGCGTAGATGTGCCATTTATCTGTAATTTTTT